GATTTCTACAAACCCGAGAGGATACTGAAACTACAACAGCTGTGAGCACAGAATAAGACTATGATTGGCAGATGCTAGACTAGGAATCCATGTGCACTTCATCGCTGAGCTACATCATCCCCAAACCAATAATAATTTCTGATCACCTGTTTTAACATAAAGCCTATTATCTTTGTATCCCTTGTAGAAAGTGGTAGCCAGGCATCGCCGGCTCACGCCTGTCATCTTAGCTACTCAGGAGGCTGAGATCTGAAGATCCGGGTACCAAACCAGGCCAGGCAGGAAAGTCTGTGAGATTCTTTATCTCCAATAAACTATTCAGAAAAAGCTAGAAGTGGTGCTCTGGCTCAAGTGGCAGAGTGCTAGCCTTGAGTACAAAAAGGTCTAGGGACGGCACCCAGGCCCTGGGTTCACAGCCCCAGGACAAAAAACAAACCAAAACAACAACAACAAAAAAAGCAGCAGCAAGGTGCCAGTAGCTCATGGCAGTCATCCTAGCTACTCAGGAGACTGAGATCTGAGGATCGAGGTTCAAAGCCAGGTCGGGCTGGAAAGTCCGTGAGAGACTTCTCTCCAATAAAGCACCAGAAAACCAGAAGTAGTGCTGTGGCTCAAGTGGTAGAGGGCTTTCCTTGAGCTGAAGAGCTGAGGGACTGCTTAGGCTGTGTTCAAGCCCCATGGCTGACAAAAAATAATGGACAGAGCCGAGTGCTGGTGGTGCATGCCAGTAATCCTAGCTACTCAGGAGGCTGAGATCTGAGGATAACGCTTTAGCTTCAAAGCCAGCCCAGCAGGAAAAGTCTGAGACTCTTATCTCCAATAAAACACCAGAAAACCAGAAGTGGCGCTATGGCTCAAGTGGTAGTGAGCTTGCCTTGAACTGAAGAGCTGAGGGACAGTGCTTGCCTAGAGTTCAAGCCCCAGGACCAAAAAAAAAAAAAAAAAAAAAAAAAAGATAAAATAAATAAAGGACAGGACCAGGTCTGACCAAGCAAACCGAGCAAGAATGCCTGGATCCAAGCCCTAGTAACAGCCGAAGCAAGAATCACAAAAAGAAAATGATATTACAACATTATATGATGTAGATACGAGAATGTATAAGAAAAAAGTCAGGGCTGGGAAGGTGGCTCAGTGGTAGAGTGCTTGTCTTGCATGCATGAGGCCCTGGGTTCAATTCCTCAGCACCACATAAAGGAGAAAAAGCCAGAAGTGGTGCTGTGGCTCCAGTGGTAGAGTGCTAGCTTTGAGCTGAAGAGCTGAGGAACAACGCCCAGGCCCAGAGTTCAGGCTCCATAATTGGCAAAAAAAAAAAAAAAAGTCATACAGATGTATTATCAGTATAATTTCAATTTGTTTTGTTTGTGCTGGTTTTGAACTTAACCTGGGAGCTTTCGGCTTTTTTTTTGCACACCTTCACTTCCAGCTTTTTTTGTTGTTGTTGTTGGTCGTGGGGCCTGAACTCTAGGCCTGGGCACTGTCCCTCAGCTCTTCAGCTCAAGGCTAGTGCTCTACCACTTGAGCCACAGTGCCACTTCTGGCTTTTTCTGCTTATGTGGTGCTGAGGAGTCGAACCCAGGGCCTCGTACACAAGGCAAGCACTCTACCACTGAGCCACCTTCCCAGCCCCTTCCAGCTTTTTTTTTTGTGTGTGTGTGTGTTTTTTTTTGGGGGGGTCCGGTCGTGGGGCCTGAACTCTGGGCCTGGGCACTGTCCCTCAGCTCTTTAGCTCAAAGCTAGTGCTCTACCACTTGAGTCACAGCGCCACTTCCGGTTTTTTTCTTTTTTGCTTATGTGGTGCTGAGGAATCGAACCCAGGGCCTCAGGCATGCAAGGCAAGCGCTCTACCACTGAGCCAACTTCCCAGCCCCCTTCCAACTTTTTTGGTAGTTAATTGGAAATGAGTCTTGCAGATGTTCCTGACCAGGCTGGCTTTGAATCACAACACTCAGATCTCAGCCTCTTGAGTAGTATATGATTACAGGTGTTAACTACAGCAGCCAGATGTTTTTTTGCTAGTCCTGGAGCTTGAACTTGGCCTGGGCACTGTCCCTGAGCCTCTTTGTGCTCAAGGCTAGCACTTTGCCACTTGAGCCAAAGTGCCACTTCCAACTTTTTCTTTTCTTTTTTCTTTCTTTTTTTTTTGGGGGGTCCAGTCGTAGGGCCTGAACTCTGGGCCTGGGCGCTGTCCCTCAGCTCTTCAGCTCAAGGCTAGCGCTCTACCACTTGAGCCATAGCGCCACTTCCGGCTTTTTTCTTTGCTTATGTGGTGCTGAGGAATCGAACCCAAGGCCCCAGGCATGCAAGGCAAGCACTCTACCACTGAGCCACCTTCCCAGCCCCTCTTTTTTTTTGCGGGGGGGGGGGGGTCAGTCATGGGGCTTGAACTCTGGGCTTGGGCGCTGTCCCTATGCTCTTCAGCTCAAGGCAAGTGCTCTACCACTTGAGCCACAGCGCCACTTCTGGTTTTCTAGCGATTTATTGGAAATAAGAGTTTCATGGAAGCCGGCCACCGGTGGCTCACGCCTGTAATCCTAGCTACTCAGGAGGCTGAGATCTGAGGATCATGGTTCAAAGCCAACCTAGGCAGGAAAAGTCCATGAAATTCTTTTTTTTTTTTTTTGTCGGTTGTGAGTCTTGAACTCTGGGCCTGGGCGCTGTCCCTCAGCTCTTCAGCTCAAGGTGAGCGCTCTACCACTTGAGCTACAGCGCCACTTCCGATTTTCTGGTGGTTTATTGGAGATAGGAGTCTCAAGGTCTTTCCTGCCCGGGCTGGCTTTGAACCGCGATCCTCAGATCTCAGCCTCCTGAGTAGCTCAAGGTCTTTCCTGCCCGGGCTGGCTTTGAACCGCGATCCTCAGATCTCAGCCTCCTGAGTAGCTAGGATTACAGGCGTGAGCCACCAGCGCCCGGCATCCATGAAATTCTTATCTCCAATAAACCACCAGAAAACCAGAAGTGGTGCTGTAGCTCAAGTGGTAGAGTGCTAGCCTTGAGCTGAAGAGCTGAGGGACAGCACTCAGGCCCAGAGTTCAAGCCTCATGACTGACAAAAATAAATAAATAATAGATTAATAAAAAGCACCAGTGGCTCACACCTGTAATCCTAGCTATTTAGGCAACTGAGATCTGAGATTTGTGGTTCAAAGCCAGCCCCGGCAGAAAAGTCTGTGACACTCTTATCTCTAACCCCCAGGAAACTGGAAGCAGCACTGTGGCTCAAAGTGGTAAGCACTACACTTGAGCTGAAGAGCTCAGGGACGGTGCCTAGGACCTGAGTTCAAGCCCCACCACTGACCAAAAACAAAACAAAACAAAAAACCTGTAATCTATTTTGAGGAATTACAATTCAAGACTGGGTAAAATCAAAGGTTTCCTTGAAAAATAAGACTAAGACAAAAATGGCTGTTGGGAATTGCTCATGTGCCTAGAAAACTAAAGTTCCTGAGTTAATTCATACTTTGATTGTGAAAATAGTATCAAATGTAAACAAATTCACAATTACACAGAAGTAATATTGTGTATCTGTTGAGATATGATAGATTGTGCTGCAGTAACAAGCACAAAAGCTCAATGTACTAACACAATGAACCTGTCTTTGGTCTGGCCATACTGGAGTTTGAACTTGGAGCCTTGTACATGCCATACAGTCACTCTACCACTTGAGACCCAGCTTGAGCCTGAGCCTAGATTCTAGGTTACATATGTGTATCTGGGTCTGGGCATTGTAGAGCAGTGGTACAGAGTACCACTGACATTCAGCAAACCTTGGGCCAGGATGAGTTTCCTTAAGGGACCATTTCAAACCTGAGCCACTTAATGCAGCATACACTTCTTGTGAATGTTCACTCTCTGTGCAGGCCTGCACCAGCTCACGTTGGGTGTGATTGTCCTAAAGGAATGCCACCCACCAATCACCCCCTACCACAGATCAGCAAGAATGGCTGAGTGCGGGGTGCGAGTGGGGGACTCCAGGGCCCCTACAGAGGCTTGACCGGGCTCACACTCCACCGGCCCTCACATGTCCTGGCCCAAAGGAAGCCAAATGGCCACAAAGTGAAATGTCACCCTCTGTGCTCCCATGCTTGTAACAGGGGATCTCCTGCCCCACCTGTCCGAGGAAGAGGTCTCCCAGGTTTCACTGGGTTTTCGGGACAAGTCTACAGTTTTGCAGGAGAAAGGGGAATGGTCTAGGAGATGCAGTGACCTAAGGCCACCACCGGAGGAGCCTGTCCTTAGTGCTGCCACAAACTCCCCTTCGGGGGGCCTTCCTCCTCCCAAGCTGGGAGCTTTGCGGGATGTTTCCTCCCAGGACCACCCGTGCTGCTGTTTACTAACCGCCCCCCGCCCCCCCCCCCCCCCCCCCCCCCCCCGCCCAGCCACACGTTCAGCGCTTTTTGGCCTGGTTGCGTCGCCCCGGTGCGTGCGTGGACCTGGCTCTGCCTATCTGAGATTTATGCTTATTGCCAGGGTGATGAACAGGCCATGGAGGCACACTCGGACGGAGCTCGGGGCGCTCGTGTGCCGCAGCTGACCTCCAGCCGCCATCTCCCCCTTCTCGGCCTCCCAAGAAGCTTGCAGGTTAGGCAAGCACCAAGGCCCCAGGAGACCGGTCGAGAAGGGGGCAACGGAACGTTCTCTGCCAGCGCTGTCCCGGACCGGCGATCCTCCCACTCCCGGCCCCTCTATCAGCCATGTTCCACCAAACCCCGGTTTTAAGGATCTTTCTCGACACTGACTTAAAACAAAAACCTTACATGGCAAACTATGTATCACGCACAGGTGCACGGAGGTGCATTCCTGAGGGCCCCGGGGGCTGCGTGGCCTGGCCGGGGCAGGGACCCCGCTGCTGGAAGCTGCTGCCCGGTCCGCTCCGGCTCCGCCCGGGCCCGGGCCCGGCGGGGAAACCGGGCCGCCGCGGGGCTCCGCCTCTCTGCGCTCCCCGCCCCCTCTCGGCCACGCCCCCTCACTGTCCCGCGGCGCGCCTGCGCCATACCTCTGACGACAGCCCGGTCACGGCCCCTTTCCAGAATGCTCATTGGCCTCGGGGGCGGGGCTTGAGCACAAGATGGCCACCGTGCGCCCGGAGCCCCGGATTCCGAGCTCACCGACCCCGGAGTCAGCGTCCCCGGAGCCTCCGGACCTGGTGCGGGCGGGGAAGAGGCCCCGGCGAGCAGGCCCAGGCCGGGAGGGGAGCTCAGGGCAGGGAGCGGGGCCTACGACAGCAAGGAGGGGAGGAACTAGGTTCTGTAGGGGGCGGGACTCCTAGCGATTGTAGTGGGCGGGGCCTGGAGAGGAGCCTATAGGGAGAGAGGGACGGGGCCTGATCGAGGCGTGCCTGGGACCGAGTCAGCGATGGGGCGGGATTCGCCCTCATTTGCATAACAAGAGGTGGAGCCTTCGGAAGGGAGCGGGGTCTGGGAAATTCTAGGGCTCCTGAACTTGGAGGTTGGGAAGGTAATCCTGAAAAAGGGGGAGGGGGGGGGAGTGTGTTTGAGCCTGTTCACAGGTTTGAGTGGGACCTGTAAGGGATGTGCCCCGTGCCCAAGGGCGAACTTGGGAGGAGGTCTGGATGGTCCAGATGACTCTAGATTCCCCTCCAGACGTTCCCCCCACTCTGAGAGCATTTATTCACCCAACACTCATTGAGCCGAGGCAGGCAGATCAGGGTTTCCCCGCAAAGAGCGGCGACACCCGGGGTTTGCTGTGTGCGTCCTGTGAGGGAAGAGAGAAGAGAGCTGGCTGAGTGCGGTGGTGGTGGCTAGCTAAACAGGGACTAGCTGGCCGGGCGCCGGCTCAGTTTACCCCGGGGTCAGGGCGCGGAGTGGGAGCCAGATTCGGGTGGACCTTAGTGGCGCTGTGAGGTTTGAGCGCAGCTGAAGTCCCCCCCCCCCCCCCCCCGACCGGCGCTCTACCACTTGAGCCCACAGCTCCACCCCGGCCTTTTGCCAATCATTTGAAGATGAGTCTCAGGAAGCTTCCTGCCCGGGCTGGCCTCGAACTGCTACCCTCAGATCTGAGCCTCCCGGTGTAGCTGGGACTGGGGTGCAGGTTTAACCGGTGGCGGCCTGCGGGGGGTCCCGGGCGAAGTCACAGGCCGCGCTCCCTTCCTCCGCCAGGTCTCCGGGCCCGAAGACGACAGCCCCGCCCCGCAGCCCAGCAGCCTCATCGAGATCCAGGTGGTGAGAGTCACGGACGCGGCGCCCGAGCCTGGGCCCCCCGCGCCCGGCTCCTTCCCCTGTGCCTTGTGCCCGGCCGCCTTCCGGCTGGTATCGGAGCTGCTGTTCCACGAGCACGGCCACCTGGCGGGCGCGGAGCGCGGCGGGGACCCGAGCCGCTGCCACGTGTGCGGGCTGCGCTGCCCCGGGCCAGCCGGGCTCCGCGCGCACTACCGGCTGCACACGGGAGAGCAGCCGCCGCGCTGCCCGCGCTGCCCGCGCGCCTGCCCGCCCGGGGCGACGGCGGGGGGCGCGGCGGCCGCGGGGAAGCCGTTCGCCTGCCGCTTCTGTGCCAAGCCCTTCCGCCGCTCCTCGGACTTGCGAGACCACGAGCGCGTGCACACCGGCGAGCGGCCCTACCACTGCGGCGTGTGCGGCAAGGGCTTCACGCAGTCGTCGGTGCTGAGCGGCCACGCGCGCATCCACACCGGCGAGCGCCCGTTCCTCTGCGCGCTCTGCGGCCGTGCCTTCAACAACTCCTCCAACTTCCGCAAGCACCAGCGCACGCACCTGTCAGGGCCCCGAAACATAGGGGGCCCCCGGGCGGGGCCCTGAGGCCGACGAACAGCCCCGGGACAGTGAGCGCCGAGGCGGGCCCGCCGCAGCTCGGGGGCGTGGGCTTGGATCCAGGCCCCGGGCTTACTCCACTGCAGACGCCCCGAGGGCAGGGACGCGGCCCCTCCCCCGCCCCCCAGCTCCCGTCGTCCTTGGACGGCCACGCGGGGCTGCCACCATGGAGGGGCAGCAGGGGCAGGGACCCCCAAGGACCTTCATCCCCAGCCCTGGTGGTGCCGGGACCCCAGGGCCGGCCTACCTCACTGGATTGCACTTATCTCCACCCCGGCCGGCCGGCGCGGGCTCCAGGTCTCCTCACCTCAGCCTCCTGAGCAAGGCCAGAGCGGGATCTCCATGGCGCCCCTCCCCGACACCGACACCGCGCGCCCTGCTTCCTGGGCCGGGCTAAGCGTGGACCTGGGGCCGCCTGGGTGCAGAATCGAGGACGTGGGGGCGGCAGGTGGGAACCCCAGGTCTGTTGGATTAAATGGCTTTCGGGAGCTTCTGTCTGTCTTGTATGCAGGAGCCGCCTGGCTTCCCCCTCGGGAGGAGGAATGGACACGGGGCGGCCATCAGCAAGTTGTTCTGCGCCGTCCTCCAGGTCGGTGGACGGTTCTGGGTGTCTGGAGGTGGTTTGACTGTGGCAGCGGGACCTGGGGATTGGGGCACAATGGACGCCTGCGGCTGCGGTAACCACCAAGAAGTGACTGGCCCCAGTAATGGACACCTGTGGCTGGCGGTCAGGCCCCAGTTTGTCCTTGGGAGCAGCTGCCAGCACCTCCGTGCCCCCCATGCTCCCAGGCAGCTGGGACTAGGTACAGTTCGTCCCCCCTCTTCCCACCTGCACCTCGGCCCAAGCTGAGCAGAGCCGCTAAGCGGCCCTGGAGCCCTGTGCCCCGTCCACCCCTGTCTCTTTCCTGTCCAACCATTCAGTACTTGTGGAATCTGAAGGCTTCCATCATCACCCATCTTGTGTCTCAGATGTGGGGCCCCTAGGCCTCAGAGGCCTGACCTTCCACAAGAAGCCTTGTCACTGTCACCAGAACACAGTGCCTCCAACACCGACGGGGTCAAAGGAGAATGCCAGCAGGAGCTCGGTGGTGTGCTCTCTCTCTCTCTCTCACACACACACACACACACACAGAGACACGTGCGCGCCCGCGGGATCAGAGTTGTATTTAGCAGGCCTGGCAGCTGCCAGTTTCCAGTCCTTAGCTTCCAAACTCTCCCCAACTCCAGTCTGAGTAAGAGCCTTCAGCACCCACGTGGAGTGCTTTCTGCACTCCTGTGGCTCTGTGCCCTGGCTCAGGGGTCGCCTTCACCCCATTCTCAAGGGTGACCCCCGCAGCTGCACACAGGTCTGCTTCACAATCAGAACACGGAGTCACACCACGTGAGGCCCTTGCCCACTTCATGTTCAGGGTTAGAGCTGAGGCGCCCGAGGCTTGATGCACGTCCGGGCATCAGCCAGCCTCTGGCAGCCAGGTCCGAATCCCTCTGGTGGCGGCGAGGCAGGTCTCAGTGCGGCATCAGGGGCCCTGTGCTCCCCAGCATGGGCCGCGGGACTGCCCGGGCTCCTGCACGCAGCTTCCCCACCCCAGGTCGCCGCGATACTCCTCAGCAGCCATGTTAATAACATTTATTGTTCTCTGCTCTGTACAAGCCTCGTCTGGCACCCACCCCCCACCCCAATCCAAGAGCACCCGGACCCCACCCCAGGCCTCCCAACTGTGACTTGCTCCATCCAGCCGGACTGGGGGGGTGGGGGTAGCCGAGACTCACCTGGAGCAGATCTGCTGGGGACAGAATGCGCGTGTCCACTGGGACGCGAAAAAGTCAAGAAACGTCCGGGGCCGTGGGGCCGGGCCCCAAGTTCAGAGGGGTGGCGGGAGGAGGGGCTGGCGTGATCCGCAGCTGCGCGCAGAGGGGGTAGGGGGGGAGAAGGGGCTCGACGGCGGTCAGGGGTCCTTCCCGGGCAGGGCAGCGGCCCCGGCCCCCCCGAGGCCCTCGGCCTTGTGCACCAGGCGGTGCTTCTTCAGGCCGTAGGTGTTGGCGAAGCCCTCCCCACAGGAGGAGCAGCGGAATGGCCGGCCGCCCTGGTGGGCCGCCAGGTGCTTGCGGAAGTAGCCAGGGTCCTTGAAGGCCTTGAGGCAGGCGGGGCAGCGTAGCTCAGGCCTTGGTGGCTCGTGCGCACGCTGGTGGCGCAGCACAGAGCTCAGGTAGAAAAAGCCCTTGCCGCAGTGCTCGCAGCGGTAGGCGCGCTCGCCCAGGTGCAGCCGCTGGTGCTCCAGCAAGTTGGAGCGGTAGCGGAAGGTCTTCCCACAGGCGCCGCAGCGCTGCGGACGCGCCACGGCGTGCAACCGTCGGTGCTCCGCCAGGCTGGACGACTGCGCGAAGCGCTTGGCGCACACGCCGCACTTGAATGCGCGCTCGCCGGTGTGCACCACGCGGTGCTGGCGCAGGTACCACGAGCGCAGAAAGCCGCGGCCGCACACGCCGCAGCGGTAGGGCCGCTGCTCTGTGTGGCAGCGTTGGTGGCGCATCAGCAGCGCCGCCTCCCAGAAGCGCTTCCCGCACACCGGGCAGCGGAAGCCGCGCTTCTGCCGGTGGCTGCGGCGGTGCAGGAGCAGGTCATAGGCGCCGGCGAAGCTCTGCCCGCACAGCCCGCAGCCCAGCGTCCGGCGCACCAGGTGCACGTACTTGTGCGTAACCAGGCCCAGGAAGTGCTTGAAGCTCTGCCCGCACGTGGCGCAGCTGAAGCGCTCTGGCCCCGCCCCACCGGCCCCACCAGCCGCCGCCGGCCCGCTCGTGTCCTCCGTCCCGGGGGCGCCGGCCAGCGCTGCCACCGCTGCACCCACCTCCCCGGCCAGCCCGTGGTCCAGCCCGCTGCCCGCTTCAGAGCCCGCGGCGGGGCCATCCGCAGCCTGGGGCCCGCCCGGCGCGGGCGCCAGCAGGCGCTCGGGGGCCGCCTGGTGCACCAGCTTGTGCCACATGAGGTTCTCGATGAAGCCAAAGGTTTTGCCACAGGCATCGCAGCCGTAGGGCTTCTCAGGCATGTGCGCCTCCTTGTGGCTCATCACGTGGAACAGGTCCGGGAAGTGCTCGCCGCAGTCTGAGCACGCGTAGGTCAGCGCTTCGGCTGGGGCGCCGGCGGCAGCGGCTCCCGGCCCGCAGGCCCCAGGCGCCGCGGGGCCGCCGGCCAGGGCGCAGGGCAACTGCAGGCGGTGCACCTGGCGGTGGCGGGTAAGACTCTGTGGGTAGCCGAAGACCTTGCCGCACAGCTCGCACTTGTAGGGCCGCTCACGCGTGTGCACCACATGGTGCTTGCTCAGGTGGAACGACTCGCGGAAGCGCTTCCCACACACTGGGCACTGGTGCGGCTTTTCGCCGGTATGGATTCGCTCGTGGCGCTTCAGCGTCTCGCGGCGGCCGAAGCCGCGCCCGCAGATGCCGCAGCAGAAGGTCTTCCCGGGGCCACCGGGGCCTGCGCCGCCCGTGCCCGCGCTGCCGGGCCCGGCCCCACCAAGCAGCAGCGGGTGCGCGCCCAGCAGCGGCACAGGCACGGCGCCATAGACTACTGCGGCGGCCGCAGCCGTGGCCGCCTTATCACCTTCGTTGGCGGGCGGGTCAGGGGGCAGCAGGTAGGGGCCCGGGGGGAAGGTGGCGGGCGGCGCGGGCGGCGGCGGTGGCGGTGGCGCATCCTTGGCGCCGCTGTCATGTGCGGCATGGGCCGCCTTGTGCCGCAGCAGGCTCTGCGGTGCCGAGTAGGACTTCCCGCACAGGTCGCAGGGGAAGGCGGGCCGCGCGCCGGCCGCATGCGCTGCCTGGTGCTTGAGCAGGTAGGCCGCATCACGGAAGGCCTTGCCACACACGCCACAGGGCAGGCGCAGCAGGTCGGCGGAGTGCGTCTTCACGTGGCGCTTGAGGCTCTCGCGGCGGTTGAAGCTCTTCCCGCAGGCAGAGCAGGAGAAGGGCTTCTCACCGGTGTGGATGATCTGGTGCTGGTGCAGGTGGCTGGGCTTCTTGAACACCTTCCAACACAGCGGGCAGGCGAAGGGGCCCTCGCCGCCGCCGGTGCCGGGCGGCGGGAGCGGCGCAGCCAGGCCCGCGGGGCTGTCGGTGGCAGCCGGGGGGGCGGCAGCAGTGGCAGCGGGCCCTGGCAGGCCGGTTGGGGGCGGCGGGCCCGGGGGCGCGGTCGGCGGTGGGGCCTGGGAAGCCGGGCCCGGTGGGGCCCCGGGCGCCGGCGGCGCGTCCTTGTGGCAGCGCCGGTGGCGGATGAGACTGGACACGTGGTTATAGGTGCGGCCGCAGACCCCGCACTCATAGGGGCGCTCGCCCGAGTGCACCAGCATGTGCTGCACTAGGTGCGATGACTGCTTGAAGGACTTCTGGCACACTCCGCACGGGAAGCGTCGCTCCATCAGGTACTTCAGCCGCCGGAAGTAGCCCTTGTCGTCCTTGGGGTCGCTGGCCGCGCCTGCGCCCGCTGGGGCCTGCGAGGCAGCGGTGGGCAGCGGGCCCGGGGCCCCCGCGGGGCTGCCCAGCCCTGGGGCCCCACCCGGCCCTGCTGCCGCCGCAGGCGCACCCCGCTTCAGGCTCCCGAACAGGTGCTGGTGCCCGGAGAGGTCGACAATACCCCACTGCGGGGCAGGGAAGGCGGCGTCGAAGAGCGGTGGCGGTGGCGCCCCGAAGGCGGGCGGCGGTGGTGGCGGGTCCGGCTTCTTGGCCTGCGAGGACGACGAGGAGGACGAGGAGGACGAGGTGGAAGAGGCAGAGGACGAGGCGGCCTCCGCCTTGGGCTTGAAGCCGGCCGGGCCCCCGTAGTCGTATTGCGGTGGTGGCGCGGGCGGCGGTGGCGCGGGCGGCGGGCCCGGGGCGCCGGCGCAGGGCAGCACGGCCGTCTTGCCGTGCTCGCTGTACAGCTCCAGCGGCTCGAAGCGCTGGTGGTTGAGGAACTCGAGGAAGTCGAAGGGGTAGCTCTGGAAGTGGACACCGTCCTCACCCGCCAGCCCACCGGGCCCGCCACCCGCCGCGGGGTTGGCCTCCATCTCACCTGCGGGGAGAGCATGGTGAGGACGGTGGGGCTTGGGATGCCTGGGGTGCGGGGAGATGGGGGGAGGAGGCGGGGGCATGGGCGGGGCAAGGACAGGCGACGCCCTCGGCCCTCCTGGCCCAGGCTGGCCTCTGCTCCCTGCCTTCTTCCCCATCCAGTACTCCGCCTCCACTCCCGAGGCCCAGGGTCTCCCCAACTCTGCTGCTCCTGGCCTGCACCCCCGCCTCCCTGGCCTGGACCCCTTCCTCCTCAGCCTGCATCCTCTCCTCCCTGGCCAACACCCCCTCCGGCTCCCTCTCCCCACCACCCACAGCCCCTTTCTCTCAATGCTCCCCACCAAACCCCAGGCTCAGCCTGCAAATGAGGACAGCAGCGGCACAGCAGCCTATCAGCGGGCCCCTTTCCTGCCCAGCAGTGACCCCGGGCGTCTCAAGGCCTCAGCCTTACCTCCTCATCTACAGACGCCACAGCGCATGCCCATACCACAGAGTGCCTCGAGGACTCAACCCTTTAGCACGCTTTTTCGTGGCTTTGAGTCTCGGTTCTCTCCATTTTCACCTGCCTAGTAGGTGGGATTAAAGACAGCTACCACCATGCTTGCCTGGAAGGCTTTGCAGACAGCTAATTTGGGCATCTGTATGCACTTAGTGTGCACAAGGTATTACTGTCCCTGCTGACAGGATGAGGGAGTCAGGACAAGCCTGGAGAATGGGAGAGGGATGGGACTGCAAGGATGCACATCCATGCTTGGAGCCCACCCCAGCCCTTTAAACCACCCCAGCTCTGAAATGAGAACATTGTTCTCTCTGTTGGACCATGAAGAACCTGGCTTGTGCTGTGATGTGTTCAATGTCATATGACAACAGTGTTATACAGCCACTGGTTGACCAATCAGGATACAATCCCATCTCCATGCTTAACCTCTACTGGAGTGTTTATCCAGGGACTGTACCCTGAAGACATGATGGACCAGGCACTGGTGTCTCACACCTGTAATCCTAGCTACTCAGGTGGCTGAAATCTGAGGATTGCAGTTCAAAGCCAGCCTGGGAAGGAAAGTCCGTGAAACTCGTCTCCAGTAAACCACCAGAAAATGGAAATGGCGCTGTGGCTCAAGTGGTAGAGCACTTGCCTTGAGCTGAAGAGCTGAAAGACAGCACCCAGGCCCAGAGTATAAGACCCACGACCGACCCCCAAAAAAATGGGACTGCTATGAAACCAAGGTTCCACTAAGGTAGAACCTATTTGGGGGTCTCTGGTTGCATAGAGACCTGGTATAATAGGGAATAGAGGAAGTGTCCCTGAATAGAATTGGTCTCTGCAGACTTCAGAAGCCTGCTGAAATGTGAAATTAAACCTTAAACACCCAATGAGTCCATGAAAAAATTACAAGATTTTTTTTTTAAGTGAAAATAAAAACAACATACCTACACCACATACAGCTTGGTGGGGTTTTTTGTTTTTGGGTCCGGTTGTAGGGCCTGAACTCTGGGCCTGGGCGCTGTCCCTCAGCTCTTCAGCTCAAGGCTAGCGCTCTACCACTGAGCCACCTTCCCAGCTCCAGCTTGGTGTTTTTTTTAAACTTAGATTAGTAGAGTAGCACTTGCTAGGCAAGTATAAGATTCAGTTCAGTCCTCAGCCCTGAAGAAAAAAATAAGTGTAGCTAAAGCTGTACTCGGGAGGGAAATTCATAGTGGTAAACTATTGTGATGACGAGTAAATGGATGAGATGAAGCTGATGAGAACTCCCTGGGGAAAATTCTCCAGAGCTGATAGAGGGTGTCTCCCACAGAAGGAATTCTGGGACAGTGGCGTTAGGAGGATGACACAGTGGGAAGATGCTGAAGGCAACAGAATTAATTAGGCTTATGGCAAAGTTCACTGGAATTAAGGCTAAACTCATGCCTTCTGCAGGAAGACGTGGCCTGGAGGGCTTTCTGCAGAGGTCCAGTGACTCAGCTGATCTCAGGCTGTGTTGAGAGGCTCTCTCACCTGGGTCTCACAGCATTCCCAGGCCATTCTCGGTCCCATTATCTAAGTGGGGAAATTGGGGGGGGGGCCGCAGCACTCATCCAGGTTCATGGGCACAGCAAAGGGAAAGCATGCAACAGGCCGCATCATCAAGTCCTGGTCTGCTAGAAACAATTATGTGACAGCAGCAATGAACTCTGAGCAGAGCATCCTAATGGCCAGGTCTTCCTCCAGAACCCCCTCCCAACCACCTCAGAGATCCTCAAAATTCCCCCATGTCCTCCTCCCAACCACCTGAGAGATGTTCACAATTGTTGAGAAGCCAGGCACCGGTGGCTCATGCCTGTCATCCTAGCTACTCCGGAGGCTGAGATCTGAGGATCACAATTCAAAGCCAGCCCTGGCAGTAAAGTCCATGAGACTCTTTAATTAACCACCAGAAAACTGGAAGTGGTACTGTGGCACAAGTGGTAGAGTCTAGCCTTTAGCTGAAGAATCCAGAGTTCAAGTCTCATGACTGACAAAAACAAACAGCAAGAGAGACTAGGCCAGAGAGAGCATTCTTTTCCCAGAGTCGCAGTGCTAAACAATGCCCAGGCCAGGCCCACAAAGACAAAGTGGTTCCCTACAAGATGCTGTCTGCCAGCACTTCACCTTCCATGTTGAAGACAAGCCCATAATATCCTGGACAATGCCTCCCTATCACCTCACTCCCAAATTTGTTTGATTCAATGCCAGGACAAGCAATTCCTCAACAATTCCTCTTGATTCTTTAACAAGCACCCCGTCAGTATCTTATGTAGTTAATCTCCTTCACCTTCAGAAGTACTGCAATTCACACCTAAAGATAAGACTAAGGTCAAAACCACTGTCCCTTAGTTCCAGCCCCTGCAGTCAGAGAAAAACCCCAAGTCTTTATGATGACCTTCACAACCATCACTGACCCTGGGGCTCCTTCCACTGGCCGTGGTTGCCCCCTTCCTCCCTCAGGGCTTACTCGGCCTGCCTGGGATGGTGTGACTCCCCTGTTCCACCTGCTCTCCCACCCTCTCCTCCTTCCTCTGCTCTACTTCAGTGCGGTTCTCAGGGACCACGGCCTCAGCCCCAGCTCCACCCCTCAACCTGCTCCATTCTCTCCTTACCACCCACTCTCATCTCTTGTCCCACATATGCTACTTCAACTTCCTACTCATTTTGCTGGCCCCCTCTTTACAGGTTACGTGTGTGTGTGTGAGAGAGAGAGAGAGAGCGAGCGAGCGAGCGAGAGAGAGAGACACCATGCACATAGACCCCAATACTGGGGCTTGAACTCAGGGCCTGTGCTTTTTTACTCAAGGCTAACACTCTTACCATTGAAGCCAAAGTTCTACTTCTGCATTTTGCTGAAGTAAAATCTCAGACTGAAGATAAGTCTCAGACTTTCCTTCCTGGGCTGGTTTCAAACCAAAATCCTCAGACCTTAGCTACCCACGTAGCTAGGATTGCAGGCATAAACGCCCAGCACCTGGCAGAAGCTACATTTTTAAGTTTCCTTCACTGCTCTGTCCTCAGAACCTAGGGCAGGGCATCTTTGTTAAATACCTGTTAATAAATTAATAAGGCTAAAAAAAGTATAGTTTGCTAAACGACAGGAGTCCCTTACTCATCTTGGCTCCCCTGGGGAAGGCAAGCAAGCCCCAGGAGGGCCGCAGCTGTCCAGAAGGGAATTTATATCAAGATCTTTTTGCTCAGTGCCTTATAGTAAAATGACCAAAGATAGGAATCCAGAAAGGTCAGGCCTTCCTGACATCCAGGCCCACACCTGTGTTTTCCTTCATACTCAGTGGTTTGATTTTTCCCTGCTCTGCCCTATTGAGCTGTGCAGCATTGACAAAGAGAAGTTTCCCTGTTTTTCTGTGACATCTCCTGTGTGACGTGCTCACTAAACAGCTGCAGAACATGTGAATGAAAGAAGACTCTGGGTTTGCTAGAGACCATCAAGGGCACATCATTTGTTCCAAGGCTCTTTGGGATCAAGTCTTGGTTCTTCTGTTCCATCCTCATGGGTCTGTCTCTCCTCATCCTGGCCACCATCATCCCAGAACCTTTGCTGTGTCCACGGGATCTTTGCATGACCTATCTCCAGCCTGCTCAGAAAACCCACCAAATAACAACATACTGTGTACCTGTTTTTGATCTGCCTCAACTAGACTGCAGTCCCCAAAGGTGGAAGATGAAGCTCTCTCCTTCACAGATATAAAGCTTTGGACCTAGAACAGTGAATATGTGTTCCAGGAAGAAGAAAAGCTGCTGGGTGCTGGTAGCTCACACCTACAATCCTAGCTACTCAGGAGGCTGAGATCTGAGGATTACAGTTCAAAACCAGCAGAGGCAGGAAAGTCCATGAGACTCATCTCCAATTAACCATCAGAAAACCAGAAGTGGAACTGTGGCTTCAAGTGGTAGAGTGCTAACTTTGAGCAAAAGGGCTCTGGGACAGTACCCCGGCCCTGAATTCAAACCCCACAACCGATAAAAAGAAAAATGCTTATAGGAAAAAGTGTAGATGGTGCAGTCTTCTCCAGGAAGTCCAGAAGGAAATCAGGAGAGCAGCTACAGAGCAAGATAAGAGCTGCGAAGACCAGAAGGTCACTCTGATGGGGGCTCTTTCCCCACCACACTGCTGGGGGACAGGAATTCTGAGAGCAGAGGGGCCAGGATGTAGGTCCGTGGAAGGTGAGGCATTAGTCCTTGAGAGCCTGGACTAAGCAGGCAGAGGAAAAGGATGGATGAGAGCATTAAGACAGAGCTCTAGAGGGCGCTGTTCTACCAAGGGGTGTGTTTGTAAGGGGTATTTTTTTTTTTCCTTGTGCAGGAACTGGGGACTTGAACTCAGGGCCTACGGCTCTTGCTTAGCTTTTTTTGCTCAAGCCTGGAGTCCTACCACTTGAGCCTAACCATTACTTCTGACTTTTTGTTGGCTAACTGAAGATACAGTCTCACAGACTTCCCTGTCCGGGCTGGCTTCGAACTGCGATCCTCAGATCTCAGCATCTTGAGTAGCTGGGATGACATGCGTGAGCCCCAAAGCTGTTGGCAAAAGGGGAATCACTGAGAGGGCTGGAGGGGAAAACAACAGAGAAAGAAGGTCCGCCTGGCACTGCAAGGAACGCAAGGCGTTTTCACCCCAGCCCGGGGTGCTGCAGGAGCTGCGCGGTAGGACGGCGGGGCGGCTGTTGCGGGCCACAAAGGCGACAGGCCGAGGCGGCAATCCTATAGGGGATGCCAGCCAGGGCGCTCAAGTAGCCGCCCTGCGCGGAGGGGCGGCCGGTGGCACCCGGGGGGGCCGCGGCCAGGCGCAGGGTGGGTGCCTAGAGCTGCCTGCCGGCCTGACTCGTCACCAAGGAAAGGGCTTCGCGACGACCTCCCGCGCGGCGAGCGTGGGAAAGCGAGGTCGGGGGGGGGGGCAGTGACGGGGTCCCCGAGCCAGGGCCCGCGCAGAGGCACTGGCGTTCTGAGGTGGGGGGGGCATCCTGGGGACCGCTAACGACCAGGGAGGGGCCCTCCGCCCCCGCCGCGCCCGCGCCGCGAGCCCCGTCACTCACCGGCGCCGGGGTCTCCGCCGGCAGGAGGCCGAGGAGGCCGAGGAGGAGCCGCCGCTCCGGGGAGACCCGAGGGCCCGACCGGAAGTGCCGCCCCCGCCCCCTCCCCCAGCAGCCCCGTGCCACCGCCCGGAAGCGGAAGTCGCGCCGGTTCCCGGGGCGCCGGCGTGGACTATGGCAGAAGGCGGCGGCGGCGGCGGCGGCGGCAGCGGCGGCGGAGGCGATGGGAAGTGCGCTTGCGCGCCACCCGGCGGACGGAGGCGGACAGAGAAACCCTATGCCGCTTCCGGTGGCGAGCCCATCCCGGGCGTCAGCGCTTCGTACGTGCCCGCTTCTTAGGGCGCCGCCCCCTCGCTCCGGACATCCGGTCAAGGCGCACCCTGGGGCTCGAGTCTCAAGCCGGAGCCCTGCCCCCTGCGTGTTGACCACGCCCATTCTCCCCGGGTGTGTTCGCCAAGCCTCCGCCCCCACAGCAAACCTGCTTTGTTGCTCCACCTCCGTGAAGGTTCTCTCCAAGCCTCTTCCTCAGAGAAGACCACGCCCCTCCAGGAAGCCCCGCCCAGCGCTGCTGAGCTCGGGCCACGCCCCTCCTGAGTTAAGCTCGCCCCTACCCGGGGCAAGCTGAGGCTCTCCTTATTGCCTTGCTTCGCGTTCCTGGTTCTCCACCTGCAGCATCGGGCAGCGTTGAGTACCAGACCCACACAGTAGAAACGCTGCGGGGTTGTTCTTTGAAGGCGCATCAGGACATTAGGAAGTTCAGAACCACAGCTTCAACACACGTCTGCCACCCCTCTCATAGCTCTTTAACCCAACTCCACCCAAGCAGTTGTCCTCCGCAGAGCCCCTGCGAAACCTCCCCACCTCTCTGAGGCTGCCTGCCCGTCCTGCCCAACCTGCCCACCGCCTGGGCCCGCTCAGCACCTTACACCCCAACCCAGAATTTCAGGAGCATCTCCCCAAGCTCTGCCCCCACGTGCGGGGCCTTTCCTTCCCTATCAGTTGATCACAGACCTAGTTAATCCTGCTCTATCTTCACCCATCTCCTTTCTAGGCCTCTCTCTGGTTCTCACCCTGCTACTCAGGGAGGCTTACACCTCATCCTGGCCCTTGCCCATCCGATCTCTTAAATCCTCCTGACATTGTCAGCCCTCGGGTCTGACTCACCTTCCACTGGGCTTTCTTAATGTTTAGTCCTGGGTATGAACCCAGGACCTTAAGCACTCAAGACAAATATTCTGCTACTAGCCACGTGCCAGTGGCTCACGCCTATCATCCTAGCTACTCAGGAGGCTGAGTTCTGAGGATCGAGGTTCAAGGCCAGCCAGGGCAGGAAAGATCATAAGACTCTTATTTCCAATGAACCACCAGAAAACTGGAAGTGGTGCTGTGGCTCAAGTGGTAGAGCACTCACCTTGAGCTGAAGAGCTGAGGGACAGCGCCCAGGCCCAGAGTTCAAGACCCACAACGAACCCTCCCCCCAAAAAAACTAAATTACACAGGGAAGGTGGCTCAGTGGTACAGTGCTTGCCTTGCATGCACGAGGCCCTGGGTTTAATTCCTCAGCACCACATAAGCAGGAAAAGCAGGAAGTGGTGCTGTGGCTCAAGTGGTAGAGCGCCAGCCTTGAGTGAAAGCTCAGGGACAGTGCCCAGGCCCAGAGTTTAAGCCCCACGACTGACAAAGAGTTACACTGTCATTCTTTAACTCAGTCTTTCCTTCCTAGAAACTCTGCATCACACTTGGAGCTGAATCTGTGTGTGTAGCCAAGGCGGAGGGGTAGATCCATGGCCAGCCACATACTGGCAAGGAAAACCCAGTGGTTTTGACTGTGAACAGGGACTATTTGGGGCCTGTTTGTTTTTGTCGGTCATGGGGCTTGAAGTGTGGGCTGGGCGATGTCCCTCAGCTCTTCAACTCAAGGCGAGTGCTCTACCACTTGAAACACAGCGCCACTTCTGGTTTTCTGGTGCTCATTGGAAATAAGAGTCTTATGGACTTTCCTGCCCAGGCTGGCTTTGAACTACAATCCTCAGATCTCCGCCTCCTGAGTAGTTGGATGACAGGCCTGAGCCACTGGCTCAGGGCAATATTTTGGGTCTGATGGAGAAGGAAAACAGGCTAAGGCTTTTTCTAGGCCATTCTGTCGGGTCCCACACACTCCTTTCAGGGCATTGAGGGTCTGAGAACACCGGAGGGGGGAAAGGCATTACAGAACACACTTGGGCGGCCAGTAGGCAGGGGTTTATTTCCACAGCTCCAGCCTCAGAGAGCCTGGCAGTCTGCAGGAGAGGCCCAGCCGAAGGCCACGTGTCCCTGAAGAGCAGGCCCCGCCCCAGACTGGGGTGTGCGGGCCTCCGCGCCCTGGCCAGCACCAGCAAGCCGTCCTGGGGGTGCAGGCCAGGCGGGGTGCTCGGCCTTAGGGCCTTCGCCCGGCAGGCTGGCGTCGGCTGCTATGGGGACGCCCTCCTCGCCCCAGGGCAGCGCGGGTGTGGGGTCCGGCGGGCACAGGCGCACGGGCACTCCCGCCAGTTCGGGGTGTTTGCGTTTGTAATGGCGGCGGAGCGTGTTAGCCTCCGTGAAGCGCAGGTGGCACAGCGGGCACTGGTATGGGCGCTCCCCGGAGTGCACGCGCTGGTGATGTGCCAGCTCCCCGGCCTCACGGAAGCGGCCCGGGCACAGCGCGCAGCGGAAGGGCCGTAGGCCCGCGTGGATGTTGCTGTGCCGCCGCAGGTGGCTTGACCGCTTGAAGGCCTTGCCGCAGTCTTTGCACTCGTGGGGCTTCAACTCCGAGTGCGAGATGCTGTGGCGCTCCAGGTCGGAGAGGTAGGGGAAGGCCCGCAGGCACACCGGGCAGAAGTGCGGGGCTCGGCTGGGCCCGGAGCCGGCCGGCACGCCCGCCGTGTCCCCCGCAGACACCGTGTAAGGCACACCCTGGTCATCGATCAGCAGGAGGCCGCCACCGTTCCCGGGCCCTGGCGGCCCCTGCTCCTGCGTGGGTTCCGGTCCGGACTTGGGGGGCCGGCCCCGCTTCCGAGGGCGCGAGGCCCTGAGCCCGGATGAGGTGGCTCGGCCCGGAGGGCGGCGGCGGCAGTGGCCCTTGGGCACCTGCGGGAGTCCGGCCAAAGGTCTCTCGTCCTCCCCCGGCAGAGGCGAAGGCAGCGGGTCTGGGCTGGGGGTGTCCATGGAGCGGTGGGGAACTTGGGTCTAAGCACCACCGGAGCCGTCTAGGAGGAGAGAGGGGCGGCGTCAGTGCGGGGTTCCCTGGCTCACCCGTCCCCCTGCCCAGGGGAGGGGTGCCATTCACCCAGACGCACAAGTACAGCCTCGCCTTCCGGGGGGGAAACGGCGAGACGGCTTCCCACCAACTGGTAAATGGCGCCGCTAGGAGCCCTGCTCGAGATCCGACGGTGCGGGCCTCAAACCGCCTCCGTGGAACCGCGACGCCGAAATGGCAGACATGGAGAATGGGGTGGGAACCAGCAGGCAGGGCAGTGGTCCAAGCGATTGGCAGAGGAGGAAACAGGGGTTTCCTCCGCTCAAGTGCTGCGTTGGCGACTCCCTCTCGGAGGCCAGTCTTCTGCAGAATGGACTCACCCAGACATGCCCTGGGGACAACTGCACCCAGAGGAGCCTGGTCACCCTGAGAGCCCACTTTACCCTTTTTGCAAAAGGGGAAACTGAGGCCTGGAAAAGCACAAGGCTTCCCAAGTTCCCTCCGCCAGTTAAAAGGCAGGGCCAAGACTTAAACCCCAATAGTTCAGGTGGAGCCAGGGGACACCTTGAGGTCTCTCAGTCCGAGGTATGCCAACAATGATTCCGAAAATGCCGGAGCCACTTTCCTCCTCTGCACAGTGAATTTTGCTAGCATGTTGTAGACACAGAATGGAATGAACATGAGGTTTAAGAGAAAAAAGGCCCTGAGCCAGGCGCTGGGGACGCCCATCTGTTACCCCAGCTACTCAGGAGGCTGAGATCTGAGAATTGAGGTTCAAAGCCAGCCAGGGCTTTGGTCGGTCATGAGGCCTGAACTCTGGGCCTGGGCCAGAGTTGAGCCTCCAGCCCCACTTCCGGCTTCTTCTGCTTACGTGGTGCTGAGAAATCGAATCCAGGGCCTCATGCATGCAAGGCAAGCACTCTACCACTGAGCCACCTTCCCAGCCCCTCCGTGAGACCCTTTTTTTTTTTTTTTTTCCTGCTTGTGGGGCCTGAACTCTGGGCCTGGGTGCTGTCCCTCAGTTCTTCAAGGCTAGCACTCTACCACTTGAGCCTCAGTCCCACTTCCGGCTTTTTCTGCTTATGTTGTGCTGAGGAATTGAACCCAGGGCTTCATGCATGCAAAGCAAGCACTCTACCACTGAGCCACCTTCTCAGACCATCCCTGAGACTCTTATCTCCAATAAACCACCAAAAAAAACAGAAGTGGCGCTGTGGCTCAAGTGGTAGAGCGCTCGCCTTGAGCTGAAGAGCTGAGGGACAGCGCCCAGGCCCAGAGGTCAAGACCCACGACTGACAAAAAAAAAAAAAAGCCTAGTCCACTGCATGGTCCTCAGGAAAGGGGACTTGCACTTGTGGGAAGGATGAGTGGCACCGGAGGAGGAGGACGGGGGCGACTAGCACCAGGAGCTGCAGATGCCCAGCAACGCGCTTGTGCGTGTGCACATGCGCGTGTCCGCGTGTGTGCTACGGGTCTAACCCAGGGTCTCACACGGGCCAGGTTGGCCAGCTATCCGCCGCCGAGCTGTGCTCGGAGCCTCTGCATCCCCTTTTAATAAACACATGGCCTCAGGTCCCCGGAGGGGCAACCTTTCAGGATACAGAGGCTCGGACCTCAGCATGGCCTGGACCATAAGCGGGTCTCCGCAGCCCCGCGGAAGGGGGAGACTGTCCCCTCGACCCTCCCCCCACGCTCGATCTCGCCGCGCACGCGCTCGTCGGCCTGGCTTGGCGGAGCCCGCACGAGGGGCGGGCCCTGCGGGGGCGGCGGCCAATAAGCAGCGCGGGGACCGCGGGCTGCTGGGGCTGCCAGGAGGGGGTCTGAGCGCGCGAGCCCGGCCGGCTGCGCGGGAGCGCGCACGGGAAGCAGGTGCGGGGGGCGCGCCTGAGCGCGCGCCGCCGCGGGCTGCCCCCTCCCCCGCCCCTCCCGGGCCCCTGGCCTCTGGGTACCTCATTTGCATGCCGCCTGGGCTCGCTTTTGTGTGTGCGTACGCGCGTGCGCGCACGCGCGCGCGCGAGGGGCGACGGGGCCGGTCCAGTGGGAAGGGGCGGGAGAGCGGGGCCGTGCCCCCGGCGGCGGCGGGGCGGGGCGGGGCGGGGTCGCGCGGGCAAGGCCCGCCCTGGGAGCGCGCCCGCGGGGAACAAAGGGGACTCCCTGGGTCCTAAGCGCCGGGCCCGCCCGGGGGCCGCCGCGCCTGCGCGCCTCCGCGGGATGTGGCCATCCACGTCCCCCACCTCGTGGAGGTGACTTTCTTCCCACAAAGCCCCGGCCGGGGACCCAATCAAGGACAGGGACCGAATAGCTGAGAAGCGGGAAATGTCTGCTTAGTGCCCGTAGTTAACATGGCGCCTGGCGCCTTCAGAGCCCAAGGAGGCCAAGTGGTAAGATGGTGCCTGCTCTTTCTACCCCTCTTGCACTTGCAGCACTCGGTTTCTCTGCTTTTTCCTTAACGCGATTGAACAAGGAGGCACCAGAGGAGGCAAAGCCGGGGCGAGAAGTCACCTCTTCCACTCACACCCCCGGGCGTGGGCGTCGGCAGAGCCCCGCCGTCCCTTGCCCCGCCCCGCGCCGCCCCGTGCCCTCACCCATGGTGGCGCCAGGCTGCCTTCTGGGAAAGGAAAGGGAAGAGGGAGAAGGGCGGGGTGTGGGGGGGGAAAGAGGGCGCCGAGAGGGCGGGAGAAGGCGGGGTGGGGAGCGGGGGGAAGGAGGCGGAAGTCGAGGGGCCCCGCGGGTGGAAGTGACGCTGCCCCCGCTGCCCAAAATGTCGGCGCCCAGAGGGAGGTGTAAGTAATTAAAGAGGAAAGCTGACTGGCTTCCCTGGCTTCTCGGGGTCATGCCGGGTCTCCTGGACCTCCGCCCCGCGCATTCGAGGTGGACTTGCCCGGCCTGCGCCGCCGGACCTGCCCGTGCCCCGGCAACCGGGGCAGCACGTTTCAGGGCGACGGGGAGGGACGGGAGGGCCCGTTTTCTGGGTCTGGGTACGATGAGCAGCCTGGGGGGGGGCATTTTCCACGGGGAGTGGGGGGCGGGGCTTCTGGTGACTGGGGCGGGGCCACGATCATGAAGAACAGTGGGCGGGGCTTTGCGGAGGGCGGGGAACTGTGGGTATTAATAGAGCGGTATATTCAAGGGGTGGGGCTTGTGAGGGGGCGGGGCTCGATGCTGAATCGGGGGAAGGTCCTAGGTTGAGATGCACTTCCATCTTTCCTCCATTGGAGCCTCAGCAAACGAGAGGGAGGTGGGAGGAGCCTGGAGTCGAAGGGGTGGAGCTTATGAGCCTGCTTAGGAAGGGGTCCCGGATGGAGGGGTGGAATTTGGCGGGGTTTGGTGCCACTGTAAGTCCTTTGCAGTGAAAGTGGGAGAGTGCGGAGAGGGTTCAGTAGTGGCCGGGATAGGGCGAAGGATATGACTGGAGTAGCCTGGAGACAGACATGGGGAAGATGGGAAAGGTAGTGTGGGGATTGGAAACCGGCCCTAGGGGCCATGTGCGGAGCTGGTGGAAGTCCAGGTGCTTGGCCAGAACAGTGGATTAAAGGGGAAGGGGAGGGTGGTGATCTGGCTCGGCCGCCCCGGCGGCGGCTCAGGTAAGCCCTGGAGCGCAGGGCGCCCACCTTCTGGAGGTGGTTACCGGCACTTCAGCCTTTTCTCTCAGAGAAAACAATTGTCATCCGTGTGCTCTGTGGTTGCAGTGCTGGCCTCCAAGTGTGCTGCGCCCCAGATCTTTGTCCTCCCAGCATTTTGGGTAGAGGGGAAAGAGGCCTGAAGGGAACACTGGGGTTAAGTAAGAGGGAGGGGGCGGGGATCCTAGGAAGGGGCGGTCCTAGCTGTGTGGGCGGGGCCTGGGAGGGTCTGTAGTGAGCTTGGGACTTTATGAATGGGGAAGGCTGGTGACATGAGGGTGGGGCTCCTGAACACCGGGTGGGGTAGGGCCAGGCTGGTGAGCCCAGGCACCCTCCCCTCACCCTCTCCTGTGTCTCCCTACCCCAGAAAGCACGCCCACCACCGCCACTGATACCCCTGCCACCATGGACGACGCCCCGCCGCCCGCACCCCAAGCCCCGGTCCCTGTGGCGGCTCAGGCGCCAGCGCCCCCGGCCGCCACCCCCCGGGTCCCATTTCACTGCAGCGAGTGCGGCAAAAGCTTCCGCTACCGTTCAGACCTGCGGCGCCACTTCGCCCGCCACACGGCGCTCAAGCCCCACGCGTGTCCACGCTGCGGTAAGGGCTTCAAGCACAGCTTCAACCTGGCCAACCACCTGCGCTCGCACACTGGGGAGCGCCCCTACCGCTGCTCCGCCTGCCCCAAGGGCTTCAGGGACTCCACCGGCCTGCTGCATCATCAGGTGAGTTTCTCGGGCTGGATGTGGCCCCGCCCTGGGGCTCCACCACACTCACCTGCCTGCTCCCTTGGCAAACTCTTTGCCTTCTGCCCGTGGCCCGGATGGAGGGACACTTCCCTTTCACCACCTCAATCCAGATGAATGAGCTTAGTACCTTTGCCAGCTGAAGCGTGCCTCCTGTCATCTAAGCAGCTGATGCCTTCCTGGGCTGAGTGTGTTCTGCCCAGGGAACCTGTGTTCCTTGGGATGGGATGAAGCAGTTCTGCAAACAGGAAGTTCCCTTAGCATTTGACATCAGTGAGTAGAAGGATAGCAGGAAGAGTTGTAGGTCACTGTTGACCTTTGGGAAGGAAGATCAGGGAAGGGTGACAGGTGGACAAAGAAGGAGTCCATGTAGGAAAACCAATGCAAGCAGAAAGAAGAAGTGCCAAGGTCCTGAGGTGGGAAGGAGATTAATGTGTCCCCTCATTGATGGGAGACATCCCTGTTGGCAGAGAGCACCAAGCAGCACTGAGAGTGGTCTGTCTTCAGCGTGTAATACCACCTACTCCGGAGGCAGAAATCAAGGAAAAACCGTTCTAGGACTGCCAGAGTAAAATAAGTATGTGGCTCTCCATCTCCACTAGTGGGTGTGCCTGTTAACTGTAGAGGAGGCACATGAAGGAGCATACCAGCCCAGGCCTGAGTATGAGGAGAGACCTGGCCTCAGCAATAACCAGCACTGGGGGCTGGGAAGGTGACTCAGTGGTAGAGGGCTTGCCTTGCATGCATGAAGCCCTGGGTTCGATTCTTCAGTACCACAGAGAAAAAGCCAGAAGTGGTGTTGTGGCTCAAGTGATAGAGTGCTAGCCTTGAGCAAATGAAGCTCAGGGACAGTGCCCAGGCCCTGAGTTCAGGCCCCAGGACTGACAAAAAAAAAAAGCACTAAAAAGAGCTGGAGTGACGCAAGTAGTAGACCACCTGCCTAGCAAAAGGGCAGGCCTTGAGTACAAACCCCAGTACTGCCAAAGAGCCAAAAGAAGCCGGGCATCAGTGGTTCACACACCTGGAATCGTAGCTGCTCAGAAGACTAAGATCTGAGGATTGCAGTTCAAAGCCACCCCAGGCAGGAAACTCCATGAGACTCGAATAAACTACTCAAAAAAGCCATAAGTGATGCTGTGGCCCAAGTGGTACACTATCCTTGAGAAAGACAAACAAAAAGGTCAGGAACAACACCCAGGTCCTGGGCCCTAGGTTTCCAGGACCTGAAAAACAAAACAAAAACGAGATGGAGGAAAAGGCTGAGTCCAGGAGCTAGAAGGGCGCTTCCTTGAGTTCTGGGATTTGAACCACAGATTGCCAGCGCACAGAGCCCCCAGACCTAAGTTTCTCTGTCAGGGAGTTGAAAAGGAGTAAGGCTTAGCCAGGCGGCGCAGCTCCAGGGCTCCGGGGACCCCCTGGGAACAGGCCCCAGTTGGGGGATGAGGCCGTGCCAGCGGGTCCAGGCCGGGGCCTGGCAGGGCTGGGGCAGGGCGCTCCTCCCCGGGCCTGATCGTGCCCTTGCTTGGGCCACAGGTCGTCCACACCGGAGAGAAGCCCTACTGCTGCCTGGTCTGCGAGCTGCGCTTCTCCTCGCGCTCCAGCCTGGGCCGCCACCTGAAGCGCCAGCACCGCGGTGCGCTCCCGGCCCCGCTGCGCGCCCCGCTGCAGACCAACCCTGGCCTGCCGGCCCTGGGCGCCCCTTGCGCTGTCTGCTGCAACGCTGGGCCCTGCTCAGTGTGCGGGGGCGCAGGAAGCGCAGGAGCTGGTGGCGGCGGTGGTGGCGGCGGCAGCAGCAGCAGCAGCGGCGGAGGCGGAGGAGGAGGAGGAGGAGACGGCGCGGAGGCCCCGGGCCCGGCCAGCTGGGGCCTGGCGGAGGCGGCGGCCGCGGCCGCGGCATCACTGCCCCCGTTCGCCTGTGGCGCCTGTGCCCGGCGCTTCGACCACGGGCGCGAGCTGGCGGCGCACTGGGCAGCGCACACCGACGTGAAGCCCTTCAAGTGCCCGCGCTGCGAGCGTGACTTCAACGCGCCCGCGCTGCTGGAGCGGCACAAGCTCACGCATGACCTGCAGGGCGCCGCGCCACCGCCCGGGCACGTCTGGGGCGCGGGGCTGGAGGTTGGAGGCGAGGGCTTGGGGCTGGAGGTGGGCGTTGGCGGCGAGGGCGCTGGGCCGGAGGGCTCGGCCCCCTCTGCCTGGGGGGGCGCCCTGCTCCTTGGCCCGCCTGGTGGCGGCGGCGGTCTGGCCGAGCTGGGCGCCCTGCTTCCAGAGGGTGTCGCTGAGGTCCCCACCGAGCCCCTGGAGGACACCCTGTACCAGTGCGACTGCGGGACCTTCTTCGCCGCGGCTGCCGCCCTGGCCGGGCACCTGGAGGCACACGCGGGCCCCGCAACCTACGGCTGCGGGCACTGCGGGGAGCTGTACGCGGGGCTGGCCGCGCTGGAGGAGCACCGGCGGGTGAGCCATGGGGAGGGCGGCGGGGGCACGGAGGCGGAGGCGGCCGAGGGCCCTGCGGCGCCTGGGGAGCCCGGGGAGCCCGCGCCCAGCGCGGGCCGCAGCACCAAGAAGATTTTCGGCTGCTCCGAGTGTGAGAAGCTGTTCCGCTCCCCGCGCGACCTGGAGCGGCACGTCCTGGTGCACACCGGGGAGAAGCCGTTCCCCTGCCTGGAGTGCGGCAAGTTCTTCCGCCACGAGTGCTACCTCAAGCGCCACCGGCTGCTGCACGGCCCCGAGCGGCCCTTCCCCTGCCACATCTGCGGCAAGGGCTTCATCACGCTCAGCAACCTCTCCCGGCACCTGAAGCTGCACCGAGGCATGGACTGACGGGCCAGCCCGGAGGCCCGTCCCGCCCAGAGACCGCCCCCCCCCCCCCCCGGCGCCCCCAGACCGGGCCCCGGCCTGCCCCGATCCACGCGTGCACCCCGATGTTGGGGACCACAAGGAAGCCGATGACTTGGCCCCGGGGGGGGGGGACCCGAGGACCACATGGGTGGCCGCTGACATCCACAGAGAACCAGAGCTAGAGACAACCCCTCCCCAAACATGTGCTGGAACCCCCGAATCAGCAGGCGTCTAAGATGTGGCGACCTAGGAACGAAAAGTGGGTCTCCCCACATGCCCCCTTCCTGAGAGCCATCATTCCCAGCGACATGGGGGACCTAGGGCGGCGGGGATCACGTTCCCTAAGTCCTTCTGGAAGCATCCCCCCTCTGAACTGCCCGCCAGTCCCTGGCGACCCCAGAAAACAGATATAGCCGAAATCTGCCTTTCCCCCATTCCATACCCTGCATCGAAAGAGGACCAGGTAGGTGCCCCCGCCCCCCCCCCCTGCGGAATGGACCGACCCTCCTCACCCCTCCCCTGAGCAGAACAGACTGGTCTGGACTCCCCACCCCTCACGAACTGGCCATCCTCTTAGAGCCAGCTCACCCTGGCCCCTGTAGTATGTGGGCTAGCCACCAGCCTCTGCGTGCCCGCCCTGCGACCTCCTCCCGGAGAGGTGGCTTGGCTGGCTCTGCACTTCCCTCCCAATCTGTAGCACCTGTCTGTCTCTCTCCATCTCTGTCAGTTTGTCTCTTTGTTCCTCGGAAGCCCGAGAATACTGGGGGAGTTGGCTAGGGTGTTCCACCATGAGCCTAGGCCTCCTCATCTGTCACACAGCCCCATGTCTCCAGTACCCCCAATAAACCTTGTCCTGTCGATCACTCTTGTGTCACTGGTCCTGGGCTCTCTCCCTCTGGGATTTAGAATGTGCCTCCTCTGCTTCTTTTTTGAGATAAGGTCTCGCTTGTCCTTCAGAGTGGACTTGAACTGTGATTCTCCCGCCTCAGCCTCCCAAGTGTTAGGATTACAGGGATGCACCATCATGCCTGACTGGAGGCCCCCGAAATAAAGTCAGTACAAGTGCTCATACCAGCAAAGTTCTGGGTCTTTTAGATTGCACACAGTTAAGTCTCATTTAAATGGAGCCCTGTGTCTCTGGGATGTTTTTGTTTTTGTTCAGCTGTGGGGCTCAACAGAGCCTGGGCATTGTCCCTGAGGGTTTTTTTTGTTTTGTTGAGGCTAGCACTCTTGTCACTTTGAGCCACAGCTCCACTTCCAGTTCTTTGGTGGGGCACTGGAGGTAAGAGTCTCATGAACTTTGAACAGTCATCCCTAGGTCTCAGCATCCTGAGTAGCTAGGATTACAGGTGTGAGCCACCAGTGTCCTGCCCTATGTCTTTAATGTATTTTGATATGTTAAGATACAGGCTGGTTTTTGATTGTCACATCCCCTAGAAATTAGACCTGCCCTTTAGTAAACACAGCAGACCCCAGAGGCCACACCTGTTGGCCACAGAGCCATATCCCAAGAGACCTGGAAGAGGCCAGGCTCTCATACTTTGCTTTCTCAGGGCCCGCCCATCAGATGACAGATAGATTCCTGTGTGATTGATCCATTGATCGAGTGTCCAAGCTGAGTACTAATTCCATGGCAGGCATTATAACCCTCTTTCCTTGGAACCTATGGTGAGCAAAATCGATTATCCCAGCCCTCCCTCTTGTGAATCGATTATCCCAGCCCTCCCTCTTGTGGTCAATGGATGTGGGGAAAAGAAGATGGAAGGAAATGAAGGAGAAGTCACTTGCCATGAGCTGTGGTGGTGATTGGGTATTAAAGGAAGTGCGTGACCCCTGACCATAGGGTGGTCTTAAGTGGTGATGGAAGGAGGGAAGCAAGCAGTGGAGCCAATGAGGAGGCTGAGCAAGAGGAGTGGCATCCAGGAGGGCCTCTCTGAGCCAATCAGCACCAGCCCTGCCTCCTGCCAGGGCTGGATGTTGGCACAACACCCCTAGCACCCTGACTGAGAGCCTCCTCCTGTCTCTGGCCTAGTCTGTCTCATCATCCCTTCCTGCCTCTACACGAAGGTCCTAAGGGAAATTATCCACAATATGAATCTGCTCATAGGACTCCCCTTTTCAGCCTTTTCAAATAGCTTCTTGGTGTGCTTGGCCTGGGTTGGGAGATTCTGTACAGCGCATGGGTCTCTGGCCTCTCCCTCAGGCTCTGGTCACTCAACCCAAGACCCCAAATCCCCTCCTCGCCACCACCCACTTATTCTTCCCACTTGGATTTGTCTGTCTTGTCATGCCTGTTTCTAAATTTCTTTTGAAAGAAAAAAGAATCCTCTCAGACCATCAAATGAATGATAAAGTAACACAGGCAACAAATTCAAAATGGCTGTTTAAACAAACACTTATTTTACATTAATGTTTATAAAAATGCAACTCACAATAGTCAAATATAGAAACAACCCAAACGTCCAATAGATAGTCTAGTTTACTCATATAATGGAATGTATTATTCAGTCATAATGAGAAATGAAACAGCAAAACATGCTACAACATGAAGAACCTTAAACACATCATGCTAACTTAGCCACACACAGTTGTACACACTTGTAATCCCAGCACTAAGGAGGTTGAGATAGCAAGATGGAGAGTGGCAGGTGCTGGTGGCTCACGCCTGTAATCCTAGCTACTCAGGAAGCTGAGATCTGAGGATCACAGTTGAAAGCCAGCACAGATAGAAAAGTCCCTCTAAGACTCTTATCCAATTAACCACTCAAAAACTGCAAATGGTGCTGTGTCTCAAAGTAATAGAGCACTAGCCTTGAGCAAAAGAGCTCAGGAACAGTGCCCAGGCCCTGAGTTCAAACCCCATAACCAACCAAAAATAAAAAAGACTGGGGCTGGGAAGGTGGCTCAGTGACAGAGCGCTTGCCTTGCATGCATGAGGCCCTGGGTTCGATTCCTCAGCACCACATAAGCAACAAGAAAAAAGCCGGAAGTAGCCCTGTGGCTCAAGTGGTAGAGTGCTAGCCTTGAGCTGAAGAGCTGATGGACAGCACCTAGACCCAGAGATCAAGCCCCACAAGCAACACACACACACACACACACACACACAAAGACACAAAGGCTCATGAACTTTGCTGCCCAGGCTGGCTTTGAGCCTCGATCTTCAGACCTCTGCCTCCTAAGTAGCAAGGGTAACAGATGTGAGTCACTGGCACATGGCTGCATTTATTGTTTGTGTCTCAACTTGTTTATATCCCATTTATCTGTTTGAGAATCCATTTTCTGGATTCAGACTCAAAAGATACAGAAGAAGGAGGGGGAGAGCAGCAGGTCCCAGTCGTGGAAGTAAGGTTATGCTATTTCTTCTCTCTTCTTTCCTTCTTCAGGATCCTCTGAGAAGCAGACAGTGTCAGCGGGCTGCGTGCTCTCACTCCTCCGGGCCCCTCCCTTCACAGCTATCATTTGGAGATAGTCCATGTTTTTATTTATTTATTTATTTTTTTTTGTCAGTCGTGGGGCTTGAACTCTGGGCCTGGGCGCTGTCCCTCAGCTCTTCAGCTCAAGGCGAGCGCTCTACCACTTGAGCTACAGCGCCACTTCCGGTTTTCTGGTGGTTTATTGGAGATAGGAGTCTCACGGTCTCTCCTGCCCGGGCTGGCTCTGAACCTTGATCCTCAGATCTCAGCCTCCTGAGTAGCTAGGATTACAGGCGTGAGCCACCAGCGCCCGGCAGTCCATGTTTTTATACCATGCATTTCTCTATTCTTTTTTATAGGCACCTGGTATTCCACTGGGCAGGTCAGAAGCAACTTCATCACTCCTCTCACTGATGGGCTTTTTATTTTATTTATATTTATTTTTACTTTCTTTTGCTCACAGCTAGCACTCTACCACTTTAAGCCACAGAGCCACTTCCAGTTTACTGGTGGTTAATTGGAAATAGGAGTCTTATGGACTTTCCTGCCTGGGCTGGCTTTGAACTGTGAACTCAATCTCCTGAGTAGCTAGGATGACAGGCATGAGCCATCAGTGCCTGACTTATTTTTATTTTTCTTAGTGGTGGGGTTTGAACTCGGGGTCTGGGTGCTGTCCCTTGAGCTCTTTCGCTCAAGGCACAGCACCACTTCTGTTTTTTAAGTGGCTAATTGTTGATAAGAATCTCACTGGCACATTTCTGCCTGGGCTGGCTTCGAACCACAATCTTCAGATCTCAGCCTCTGGAGTAGCTAGGATGACAGACATGAGATGCAGGCAGGCTTTTAGATATCTGACTTTATGCTGGCCTGGCCTGGTGTCCTGCACCATTCTGCATCTGTCTGAAGAGAACATTCCTGGAATTGCTGGCTTGTGGGGGCTCCAGAATCTACTCACCCTGAGACTGCACCCAAGGGACGCCCCCCCCACCCTGTGCCAACAATGTGTGGCATGTCCCGGCCGCCGGACAGCGCGCGTAGCACGCGTGGATTCCTGCAGCCGGCCCTGCCTGTCTGTCCCACTGCTGGTTTTGAGAGGGTCACCCCCCACCACCCCCGAGGCCGCTGCAGGGGTGGCGCTGTCACCTCCAGGAAAGCTTCCGAGGCCTCTCCACCCCGCTCCAGTCCCAGGGCCAGCGTTCCCCGCTGCTGCCCGGTGCGTGCCTCCCCGGTGCCCGGCCCCCCTGCCCGGCCCTGGGCCTCGCTGGCGACCCATCCGTCCACCGGCCCCACCCTGGCCTGGTCCGGCCCCTGTGTGGCCAGCACCAAGGACAGAGCTAGCTCACAGTGGGCTCTCAGTAAGCCGGCGGGTGTGCGGTGGCGTGCGTGCGGGAGGACTGGGGGGGGGGGGACGAGGCTCGGAGGAGGGAGGGGCCAGGGTCCCCTCGTGTGCGTCCCCGGGGACTCGCACGGGGCCCGACCTGCGCCGCCCCGGTCCGCGTCCCTCGGAGGAGAGGGGAGACATCCGTGTGTCCGGGAGGCCACCAGACCGGCCGCCCCCTCCCCCGCCCCCCCACCCCGGTCCCCCGCTTCCGGCTTCCCAGCCACTCTTTCCTCTTCCAGGCTCCGACCCACAGGCAGGGTTTCCGGGGGGACGGTTTAGGCGGTGACACCGCGCCAGCCGCCGCTGCCGCCGCCTCCTCCTCCTCCTCCACCTCCTCCTCCTCCCTCCCCTACCCCCCTCCCCCGCCGCCACCGTCCGCCGGGAAGGAAGAAAGGAGCGCAGGAGGCGGAGGTAAGACCGGGCGCGGCGGCCCCGGCGGGCGCGGGGCTCCGCCTGGCCCCGGCCTCCAGACCTCGCCCGCGGAAACCGGAGCGGGGCCCGGAACGCCTGCCCCCGCCGCCCCACCCACCCCGTCCCGCGGCCGCCCGGACCCCCTCCCGGGACAGCCCCGCCGGCCCCGGACGCTCCTCGGGCATAGGCGCCGACCCTCCACCGGCCCCTCCACCGGCCCCTCCTCCACCGGACCTGCAGGCCCCTAGGTCCCCATCCTGTCCGCCCTGGACCCGGGACCAGGCCCAGCCTCCTCCCTCAGACCCGAGGGTCCAGACCCCAGCCTCCTCCCTCAGACCCGAGGGTCCAGACCCCAGCCTCCTCCCTCAGACCCGGAGTCCAGACCCCAGCCTCCTCCCTCAGACCCGGAGTCCAGACCCTAGCCTCCTCCCTCAGACCCGGAGTCCAGACACTAGCCTCCTCCCTCAGACTCAAGGGTCCAGATCCTAGCCTCCTCCTTCAGACCCGAGGATCCAGACCCCAGCCCTCCTCCCTCAGACCCGAGGGTCCAGACCCCAACCTCCTCCTTCAGACCTGGAGTCCACATTCCAGCCTCCTTCAGACTCGAGGGTCCAGACCCCAGCCTCCTTCAGACCCAAGGGTCTAGACCCCCAGGCTCCTCCCTCAGACCTAGGGGTCCAGACCCCACAGCCTCCTCTCTCAGACCCAGGGGTCCAGGCCCAGCCTCCTCCTTCAGACCCAGGAGTCTGAGCACTCCTTGTCCAGAGGCTCCTAGCTTTCAGCCTCCACCTGGGCCCCTTCGGCTGGTTTCCAGCCTCTCCCAGAGCATTGAACCTGGGACCCCAGAGCAAAAGCATTGGCTGACTTGATCTTCCTGTCTCCTCTTCTGTGTGTCCTGTTCTCTCCCTGTGTCTCTGCTTCCCTGCCTCTCCTGCCCCTGCACACCTCCCCCCATGTCCATACCACACTGCCTCTGGCTCCTTCCATGCTGCCCCTCTCTCCCACACCCCCTCTCCTGGATTCTTCCTGGCTTCCTGTCTCTGCCTCTGTCCCCTGCTGTCTCCAATCTTGCTCCACCTCTGCTTCTGGGCTTCACATCCCCCTTTCCTTCTGGGCCTCTGGCCATGCCCCTCTCCCCGACACCCCTGACCCCCTGTACCTGTGACCCCACCCCACCTCTCCCCTCTCCCTGACCCCCCTCCACCTCTGTCCTCACCCCACCTCTCCCCTCCCCAACCCCCAACACCTCTGCCCCTATGCCACCTCTCTCCCACACCCCTGACTCCCTCCACCTCCACCCCACCCCACCTCTCCCTCCTCCTGACCCGTCCACCTCTGTCCCCACCCATCTCTTCCCAACACCCCCTGACCCCCCTCCCCTGCAACCCCACCCCAACTTTCCCCTCCCCCTGACCCCCCTCCACCTCTGACCCCCCACTTCACCTCTCCCCTCCCCCATCCCTCCACCTCTGTCCCCATCCATCTCTCCCTGACACCCCGACTCCCCTCCCCCTGCGACCCCACCTCACCTCTCCCCTTCCCCTGACCCCCCTCCACCTCTGCCCCCCATCCCACGTCTCCCCGACCCCCTGACCCCGCCCGCCCCGCCCCCTGCAGGCATGGATCCGCAGCCCCCTCCGCCGGCCCAGGGCAGCCCTCCTCACCGCGGCCGGGGCCGGGGCCGGGGCCGAGGCCGGGGTCGGGGCCGGGGCCGGGGCCGGGGGGGTGCCGGGGCGGCCCGGGCGCCCCTGCCCTGCCCGACCTGCGGCCGCCTCTTCCGTTTCCCCTACTACCTCTCCCGGCACCGGCTGAGCCACTCGGGGCTGAGGCCACACGCCTGCCCACTGTGTCCCAAGGCCTTCCGCCGGCCGGCGCACCTGTCCCGCCACCTGCGCGGCCACGGCCCGCAACCGCCGCTGCGCTGCGCCGCCTGCCCGCGCACCTTCCCCGAGCCCGCGCAGCTGCGGCGCCACCTGGCGCAGGAGCACGCGGGCGGCGAGGCGGAGCCGGCGGCCAAGGCCGAGGCGGAGCCAGGCCCGGGGCCTCAGGACGACGCGGGCCCGGTGGATCCCGCGGCGGTGGCCGCCGATCCGGGCGCGGCCCCCGCGGCGCCCGGGCCCGACGAGGCGGAGGCCGGCGCGGCGGAACTGCGCGCCGAGCTGGCGCGGGCGGCCGGGAGGCAGGAGGAGAAGCAGGTGCTGCTGCAGGCCGATTGGACGCTGCTGTGCCTGCGCTGCCGCGAGGCCTTCGCCACCAAGGGCGAGCTCAAGGCGCACCCGTGTCTGCGCCCCGAGGGCGACCCCGAGGCCGACGGGGGGCCCCCGCCGCGCCCCAAGCGCCACCAGTGCCCCGTCTGCCTCAAGGCCTTCGCCAGGCCCTGGTCCCTGTCGCGCCACCGCCTGGTCCACTCCACCGACCGCCCCTTCGTGTGTCCAGACTGCGGCCTGGCCTTCCGCCTGGCCTCCTACCTCCGCCAGCACCGCCGCGTGCACGGCCCGCTTAGCCTGCTGGCGCCGCCGCCCGGCCAGGCCGCAGGCTCGCGGAACTCGGGGAAGGGGCCCGAGGCCGGCGAGGGCGCAGCCGGTGGCGCCGAGGGCGGCCCGGGCGCGCAGCCCGCAGGGGAGGCTGGCCCGGCCCGCGCGCCCGCCGGCGAGCCCCGCTTCTGGTGCCCCGAGTGCGGCAAGGGCTTCCGGCGCCGTGCGCACCTGCGGCAGCACGGCGTGACCCACTCGGGCGCACGCCCCTTCCAGTGCGTGCGCTGCCAGCGCGAGTTCAAGCGCCTGGCAGACCTGGCCCGCCACGCGCAGGTGCACGCGGGCGGCCCGGCCCCGCACCCCTGCCCGCGCTGCCCGCGCCGCTTCTCCCGCGCCTACAGCCTCCTGCGCCACCAGCGCTGCCACCGCGCGGAGCTGGAGCGGGCCGAGCTGGAGAGGGCGGCCGCACTGCAGGCCCAGGCCGCGTCCTCGCCGCTGCCGAAGCAGGAGGCCGAGGGGCCTCCCCTGATCCCCGCACACATCAAGGAAGAGCCGCCCTCCCCCGGGACCCCGCCTCAGTCTCCGCCCGTGCCCCCCGTCTTCCTTAGCGCCTCCTGCTTCGACAGCCAAGACCACTCAGCCTTCGAGATGGAGGAGGAGGAGGCGGACAGCAAGGCCCACCTGTGCGGCCTGGCCTCCTGACCTCCTCCGCTGACCCCTCAAGCCCTGGACACCACAGCGGGGCCACCTGGGCCCGCACCCTCCCAATTTCCCACCCCACACACCCCTGATGTGCATTAGCAACGGCTCTCCCCGGAGCAAGTCGAAGGCAAGATGTCTCAGAAAAGGAGGGGACAGACACTCGACCAGCAAGGTGCAGACCAGGGGGTTGCCCCAGCCTGCCCGTCCCCCGTGACACACACTGGACACGATCACCTTTTCCGAACTGCCAGGCCCTGGGGGTTCCCAGTGAGCACGGCTCTGCCTCCCCCATTCCTGTCTGTCTGTGAATAAACATGAGTTTGTGAACATTGAGAGTAGGGCTGTGTGTGATGTGGGGGCCTGTCTGCAGTGGGGTTGGGTAACTCAGAGTGGGAAGCTACGAATGTGTGGACATGAGGTGGAAAAGAAGGGAGAAGATGAGAAGGCAGCTCACCATGATGGCCAGACCTGCGGCCTCTTGCACACATCTACTCTGCCAACTCCCTCTTCCTCTGGCAGGCACAAACTATGGAAACTGAGGAAGAAGCCCAACTTGTTCCTCCCTGCAGGAGCTAGAATTCTATCACTTCTTTGCCCAATGGGACCTTTTTATTTATGGTCATAGAATGCTCTTGGAGTTTTGGTGTCCAGTATGGCATGGACCAGCCATATGTAGAATAAGTCAATTTAAAAGAACTCAAATGGAATAAAATTTAAAAGCTCAGTTCCTTATACTACATCAAGGGCCAGTGAGCAGAAACCATATGGAGAAGGGAGCAGTGGACAGAGGGGACACTCACCATGAAGGCTGGGAGATGTATGAAACTACAAATAACTCGGGATTCAAATCAATTTTTAAAAAATCCTCTGGTATGGGGCTGGGAAGGTGGCTCAGTGGTAGAGCACTTGCCTTGCATGCCTGAGGCCCTGGGTTCAATTCCCCAGCACCACATAAGCAAAAAGAAAAAAGCCGGAAGTGGCGCCGTGGCTCAAGTGGTAGAGCACTTGCCTTGAACTGAAGAGCTCAGGGACAGCGCCCAGGCCCACTGTTCAAGCCCCATGACCGACAAAAAAATAAATAAAAATAAAACCACACCAAAGGATTTTTTTGGGGGGGGTCCGATCATGGGGCCTGAACTCTGTGCCTGGGCGCTGTCCCTCAGCTCTTCCGCTCAAGGCTAGTGCTCTACCACTTGAGCCACGGCGCCACTTCCGGTTTTCTGGTGGTTTATTGGAGATAAGAGTCTCCTGGCCTTTCCTTCCTGGGCTGACTTTATTATTTTTTTTTTTTTGGTCGGTCGTGGGGCTTGAACTCTGGGCCTGGGTGCTGTCCCTCAGCTCTTCAGCTCAAGGCGAGCGCTCTACCACTTGAGCTACAGCGCCACTTCCAGTTTTCTGGTGGTTTATTGGAGATAGGAGTCTCATGGTCTCTCTTGCCCGGGCTGGCTTTGAACCGCAATCCTCAGATCTCAGCCTCCTGAGTAGCTAGGATTACAGGCGTGAGCCACCAGTGCCCAGCTCCTGGGCTGACTTTCACCTGCGATCCAGCATGTCTACATTCAAACCCCAGTATTAGCACTTCTCCTTATCACCTTCAGTACCTCTCCCTCTGATAAAACAATATCACCAAACAACCAAAGGTGATAGAAAACAGCCATATCTTATCAAAGACAAGAGGTCTGCCCAAGCACACCAAAACCAGTACACTACATAACCTTGAACTACAGTCCCAGATAACATACATAATAACCCATAAAAATACATCACAGATTTGCCTTTCCTTTGACTCTTGAATAACAAGAACTTAGCACTTAAACTCTTTCCTATAGCTCTAGTTGCTTCAGGAGACAGGAATAGCAAAACATTGGCACAAACAAATTAGGGTTATCAATTGAGACCGGTCCCAAAGCTCCAGATCCAAACAGAGGCTGAAACTAAACCTCGGTGTTGGGAAAACAGGGCTCTGAGCTCCTTTCAATACATCATAGACACGACCTGTCCAGACCCTTTGTGGCTCCCAATTACCATATGCAAATGAGAGGTGGGGCTCCATATCCAATGCTCTCACTTAACTCTCGGCATTTTATTTTATTTTATTATTTTTTTGGGTTGGGTCGTGGGGCCTGAACTCTGGGCCTGGGTGCTGTCCCTCAGCTCTTCAGCTCAAGGCTAGCGCTCTACCACTTGAGCCACAGTGCCACTTCCAGCCTTTTTTCTTTTTGGTTATGTGGTGCTGGGGAATCAAACCCAGGGCCTCATGCATGCAAGGCAAGCGCTCTACCACTGAGTCACCTTCCCAGCCCATGGGCATTTTATTTTAATTTTGTATTTTTGCTTTTGTTTTTGCCAGTCCTGGAGCTTGAACTCAGGCCCTGGGCACTGTCCCTGAGCTTCCTTTTGCTCAAGGCTAACACTCTATCACGTGAGCTACTGCACCACTTCCAGCTTTTTTCTGTGTATGTGGTACTGAGGAATCCAACACAGGGCTTCATGCATGCTAGGCAAGCGCTGTATCACTAAGCCACATTCCCAGCCCTGTCCTAGGCATTTTATATGATGCAGTACTCCAGTGCCACCTACCAAGGTCAGATACTTGGTCAGCACAAGGTCAAACACAAAACGCAGGGGCTGGGAAGGTGGCTCAGTGGTAGAGTGCTTGCCTAGCATGCATGAAGCCCTGGGTTCAATTCCTCAGCACCACATACACAGATAAAGCCAGAAGTGGTGCTGTGGTTCAAGTGGTAGAGTGCTAGCCTTGAGCAAAAGAAGCTCAGGGACAGTGCCCAGGCTCTGTAATTCAAGCCTCAGGACTGGGAGGGGACACACACACACACACACACACAACCACACAACCACAAACCCCATGGCCGGGGTTGGGGGGTTCTATAGCCCTGCTTATAGAAGGCCGGTGGTAGACAGGTCATTTGTATAATTTCAACTGTCATGAACACAACTTGTCCCTTTGTACTGAGTATTCTAGGGTATTATTAGATTTACAGAAAAATCAAACAGGGAGTATGGAGTTTCCATCATTCTCTTTTAAAAAATTATGAGCCAGGCGCTGGTGGCTCACACCTGTCATCCTAGCTACTCAGGAGGCTGAGATCTGAGGATCGAGGTTCAAAGCCAGCCAGGGCAGGAAAGTCCATGAGACTCTTATCTCCAATGAACCACCAGAAAACGGAAGTGGTGCTGTGGCTCAAATGGTAGAGCACTAGCCTTGAGCTGAAGAGCTGAGGGACAGCGCCTAGGCCTGGAGCTCAAGCCCCATGACCGACAAAAAAATAATATTATTTCAAAGCACCTCACAAATATCATTTCCTTCCTAACACATGTAGCTTATTGTTCTTGGGAAGACTGAAGTGTCAAGAAACGCACACATTTCATCCTCTTACTTGTGATGAATTGTGACAAATAGGTACAGCTGGTCAGCACAAAGCCTCTCACTGATTTGACCACTGGATTCTCTCTGGTTCCTGTAAGGTATATTTTTAACTAGGTAGGTTTCATTAGGTAGCCGATGAAGAGAACACTACCCGCTATTCAGGAAGGAAAAGAAGTTTATTTACTAGCCGGGCGCTGGTGGCTCACGCCTGTAATCCTAGCTACTCAGGAGGCTGAGATCTGAGGATCGCGGTTCAAAGCCAGCCCAGGCAGGAGAGACCGTGAGACTCCTATCTCCAATAAACCACCAGAAAACTGGAAGTGGCGCTGTAGCTCAAGTGGTAGAGCGCTCGCCTTGAGCTGAAGAGCTGAGGGACAGCGCCCAGGCCCAGAGTTCAAGCCCCACGACTGATCAAAAAACAAAAAAGAAATTTATTTACTGAACTGCTACCCCCACTATGCATGGTGGAGAGGCAGGGCTGAAAATGCTGAAAAGGAAAAGGGGGGGGGGGGAACGACCCACCCCTGGGCCAGAACTTATCTAGGCAGGGACAGGAAGAGGTGTGGCCACACTGGATCCAGATGTGACCTCAGGGTCTGGGACCCTCCTAAGGTCAGATGGGAGCCATGTGACCAGAGGTGGTCCAGGATGTGACTTAGCAGGAGGGGAAGGTGACTGCTTCCAGGTCTGCCAGTTACCTAGGTAACAGATACTGGCAGAAACTTAGCCAAGAGGTAGGGAGGTGTCTCTGTTCAGACCTTAATTCCAGCCTTTTGATAATTATGAATAAGGGCTAAGATTCTTTTTTTTTTTTTTTTTTGATCCAGTCCTGGGGCCTGAACTCTGGGCATGGGCACTGTCCCTCAAGGCTAGTGCTCTACCACTTGAGCCACAGCGCTACTTCCGGCTTTTTTCTTTATGTGGTGCTGAGGAATCGAACCCAGGGCTTCATGCATGCAAGGCAAGCGCTCTACCACTGAGCCAGCTTCCCAGCCCCATGGGCTAAGAGTCTCTCTGGCTATTTCCTGTTTGCAAGGGGCATCTACATTAGGGGTAAAAGGCTGAGATGTGGTCCCCTCTGGGAGAAGGCAGCAGTCAGCAGCTGTCACTTGGTGGCATGAATCCTCAGATGAAGTCTGTAGGAGGCAAGTCTTTTGGATGAAGTCTGCAGAAGTCTCATGAGGCATTGACGGACTGAAAAAAAAATACTAAAGAGCAAATAAATGGCCAGAGGAAGGACTTGGGCTGAAAATGTTGGTAGAAATGTCCCTAGCTACTTCTGACATCTGGTGACTAGGTAGAGGAGAAATCAGGTAACAAAGGCAAGAATGTAAATTCCTGTCCGGTTGAAAGGTAGACAGGTATGGACATTGGATGGGCAGGCTTCTTACTTCTATTGACCTCCCAGCTCTGGTTAATTTTGAAAGGGCAGGCACAAAGTGGCTGATGTGATATCATCTCCTCTTACTCCTCTCCATGGTCCCTTGTTCCCCAGACTGGCTGAGTCTAGGTGCTTGTTGCTGGGATGGCTTGTCCCAGTTGGTATTCAAGGAGGCTTGAACTCAAAGCCTGGGCACTGTCCCTGAGCACTTCTGCTCAAGGCTAGCACTGAACCACGTTGAGTTACAGTACCACTTCCAGTGTTTGGCTGGTTAGAATAAGAGTTTTGAGCCATGCTTCCAGCCTGGCTCTTTGCAGTTTAGTTGGGAGATGGAGTCTTAGAGATTTTTCAGCCCGGGCTGGCTTTGAACTGCAATCTTTGCCACAAAAAACACTTTGTTATTTCCAATTAAAGCTACAAGGAGATCAAGTAGAATAGATAGAGTTTACCTGGTTCTTATCAAGAATTGACCAACAAATATTCTGAAATGACAAAACTTGTTAGATGTGATGAGAATTTTAGCACAGATATAATATTGATTTCTTTCTGGCCTAACAGTGCTTAAGT